ATAGAGAGACAGACTCAGGGAGAGGACACGGGAGGAAGTGGGACGACAGAGAATGGACATCTCTGTGGAAGAGACACAGAGACCCAAGGAGAGGCCGAGGGTGGTGGGGAAGAGAGGCAGGAAGTCCACCCAGCGAGTGCATGCCCCTGCTTGAAGACGAAACTGGAGACCTGAATTGTCCTCTTGGTAGATTTTGGTTTTCATATACTTCTCTTGCTGTGATCCTTTTGTCATCCTGAGTGTGAGTCAAATAAAGATTTTTATAAAACATGGGCCCTGTGTGCAAATACTCTGTTTCATCTGCTGCTCAACTGATAATAGGTGATCGGAGGGGAAAACAGACTGTGTTGGAGTTACTGAGAGAAAGTGTGAGTTTCCTAAAGAATTGGCAAAGGCATTTTTGAATATGTGTATTAATAATTGTTTTTGAGCTGGCCAGTTTTTTTTTTTTTTTTTTTGCAGCAGAGTCTGGTAAATCTTTACTTTTTACCGTAGCTTTTATATTCTAAGTTAGTACATTTTTTAAGGGGAAGATGGTTTAATATTACATCGGCTTATCCTTCATGAAACCAGGGTGTTTTCCACATACTTCTTTGTGAGAGTCTTATACATTATCTTCTGGCCTTGGGGCCTATTGACATTTTATGACCTAGGTGAATGCAAAACTGTTTTCCGTAATCTATTCTTTAAGGAACACAAAGGTCAGTCCTTTTGCAGAAGTTATCAGTTAAATTTATCTAAAAGGTTTACCACACAAAGACTCTGCAGCTCCCATGAGGCAGCCCCTGTTTAGCATTCCTGGTTAAAATTAACAATTCTAAACTCTTATTTTTCTAAATCTTTAACTATAACCACTTTTAGAATAATATTTTATGTTCTCTAATAGGGCTTCCTCACCTCTTGAAGGGCTCTGTGCCTATTAGGGCCTTTTGTATGATCAGGTTCTTTATGCTGTTTATGATTAAGGTGTTGTGAGCAGTCATGTGCATTAGTACGCATTTGCCAAGCAGGCTAGAATGCCAGCAAAGGGGTCTAAATTGAAACACTCCTTTCATCCTGGATAATCTTATAGGATACCACCATCCAGGGGACATA